TAGGTCCTCATTTTTCCCCTCCCTCCCCGCTCCCCCCTCCCGCATGAGCCCTTGATAGTTTATAAATGGGTATTTTGTCATATCTTGCCCCGATATTTGGAATTTTTAAGAACATGTTTAAATGGCCTGATATAATGACCAAATACAAATATTTATCTAAAATGGCATTATCTAATATGATCATTATCAATCACATGTGGTTATCTAAACTCAATTTTAAATTAATGAAAATTCAATGATTTAGTTGGGCTAGTCACATTCCAGGTGCCCAGTGGCCACACACATGTCCATTGTACAATTCAGATACCGATTTCAATGGTCCCAGAAAGTTCTATTGTAAATGTTGTGTGAAATTCCCAATTCATGTTCTTAGGCAAATTTGTCCAATAATGGAATTTTCCTTAAATGAGTGATTATAGTGTTCCAACGTCAACTTGGGTAGAAAAGCATAGGTCAAAGTTGAAATTGTCTACTGGAATATGAATGATCTTTGCTAAAGATAGATGGAGCAAGTAGACTTGAAGTTCCAACATTAGGGAAAGGTTGCTTCAGCTTCTAAAAATATATTTGCAGGCAGATATTGCCAACAGATTTTAGATTGCTATATACTACAGAAACACCTTTTGAGAGTTTTATTGTTGCAGGTACCAATGATGTGCCCTTGATTATTAACCTAATGCTTGGTGGTCGGAATCTACTCAACAGCTTGGTGATTTGCTCCCATAAAGATTACATCCAAGAAAACCCATCCAGGGGGCTCCAATTCCTGACAGTCTTCTGCATAGCAGATCACATCTGCCTTGTTGTAAGGAAAATAGGAGCTCACCAGGACTCAAGATGATAAAGTCAGTTTACCAGATGAACTTTGCTGTCAGCTAAATGTACCATGTAGTACATGCTTTAAAAGATTGAACTCAGGTCTTGGAACTAGACATGCAAAACAGGAGGATCATAGTCGGAGAGGGAATTGATAAATAGAATCGTGCATTCCTGAGGAGCATTCTGATCCTAGAGAGTTATTCTTTTCTTTTTTCTTAAGTAACAGCTGAAAGGGCACTTCAAATTTCATTCTTGTAGACAGTCACTGAGAAAAATCAAGGGCTTATTAGAACCTTCTAATAGGTCAGAGGGCCACGAGTGTAGCCACGAGTGTAGCCACAAGCACGGTGGTTTATTCAAAAGGGAAGGAATTTGCTTTTATTTTCAACTTTCTGGATAATTTACATGAAAAATCCTCTGACCCCCATCTGAGTTTCCTCAGTGATGAACTTATTAAAAATTCAGTTTGTAATTGAGTTACAGATTGCAATGATTTGTTCTTTTAGAAGTTCAATTTTCATCAGTTATTGTGTGCATTTACAAAAAAAATGAACCTTAAAATTATTTTCTTTAAATAAGAAGATAAAACCACAAAGTGACTTGAACTTTCCAGACTGACCAAAATTATTTATTGATTCATTATTTTGAGGATGTTCATTGACTCATGGTTGGTGATGAGGGGTGCTTAGCTTTGAGATTGTCCAAGTTCTGTCCATCTTGTCGAGAGCAGCTGACACGTGGTTTGTATTGTAGAAATACATTTCAGAGAGAGTATGAAAGTGCACAAAAATTCAGGAAGTTCTTCTGTCCAGAACAAGATAGATTATTTTGCTTTTCTGAGGGATGGTCAATATATCTGAACAGCGAGTCCTGGGCCTTATTAAAATCAAGTTCCAATCAGTCTTCGTAAACAATGCTTGCTCTGAAATGGGAAGGGAAAGGAGTTAGGGATGGATTGCAACATAATTATGAAGGAAAAACCACTAAATGTACTATCACGTATGAGTTAAGTCCCTTCCTACCTGTAAGAACTCGACTTATCTCTTGAGTGGTTATCAAATTGCAACAAATGCTAATAACTACGTTAGTTATTCAAAGGATTTAGGCTTCTATTTGATGAGCATTCTTTTCCAATGCAATTAGTTAACTAGTCTATGGCTTGCTGAATCTCTACTGCACCAGCAGTCAAAAATAGGATTTCTGGATAAAGCCAAAACCTGGTAGGTTATTTTGGTTTAGACGAAGACACTCTATTTCTAAAGAAACCATCTCCGGTCCTTAGTGCTACCTGTTAAAATAAATAACTCGTAATTAAGAGTACTCATGAATTATTTCTACAGCATATAAACTAAGCTGCCATATCAAAAACATATCAAAAGGAAACATGAAACATGAAAGGCTGAACATTATAGTTGGAACAGGTACATACCTCGAGTGCTCCATTTAGATAGACATGATGTGTTTGACAAAGGCTGTAGGGATAATATGGACAGGTTAAAATTAGCTAAGAGCCAAATTTAATAAAATAGATATTTAGCAAGTTAGCTCAGTCCTAATTGTTCCTAGCTGCAACTCTTGACTTTATTTGCTTCAACTCAGGATACCCTAATACTCTTAAAATGGATTGAATAGCTTTTCCTTCGCTTTTGAGAGTTGATTTTTTTGGGTACATGGTACAGTCACATGCTTTTTTAAAGTAATGTTTTTGTTGTTGTCCTCAAAACCCCAAACTCATTGCCATTAAATCAATTCTGGCTCACAGTGACCCCAGGAGACTGGGTAGAATTGCTCCTGTGAGTTTCCTAGACTGTAACTCTATATGGGACGAGAAAGCCAAGTCTTTCCCCCATGGAGTGGCGGTTGCTCACTGCATAACCGCTATGCCACTGTGTTTGAGGCTGTCAAATCAGCCCCAGACTCAGGATGGCGGGTTGCTGTCCATCAGTGTTTCCCTGGACTGATTTATGTTGGTAGAATGGCAGACCTTTCTTCTATCTGTCTTAGTTTGGAAACTGCTGAAACCTACTTAGCATCATAGCAACATGAACATTTCCACTACCACAGACAAGGTGGTAGCTGCATTGGCTATAAATGGGATGAGGATGTCAAGCTTGAAGGCAAAAATTCAACCACGGAACCACCATGTCAAGGTGGGTTTAAAGTCTTCTGCTGTTGTGTGCCATCTAAATGATTCTGACTCATAGTGACACTGTTGGACTAAATAGAATTTACCTAGACGGCTTCCTATGATATTGTCTGTATAGGGGCAGAGAGCCAGGCCTTTTCTGCTGCAGAATGGCTCCGTAGGTTCAAACTGCGAACCTTTCAGCTGGCAGTTAGTGCTTTGTTGTCATAGCAGTAGGACTCCTTTTATAAAGAATGGAAAGGTACATAATAAAAGACAGCGTCCTCCTTCATGACTCCCAGCCCCTCTTGTTCCTTTATGTTGAGTGAAGTTGTAAGGCCTCTTTATGCATATACAATAAAAATGGAAATATTTATTTTAAATTTTTTCTAAACGGTAGAATCTATTACACACTGGTTTGCACTTGTCATGTTTCAATTTATAACATATTTGGAGATATCACCATCAGCACATACAAGAGTTTAAAGCTGCAGGATATTTTGTAGTACAGCTGTACCACACTTTACTGACCACATCATACACTAATGGCACCTACAGCCATGTGCCATTCTGAACTATACTATAATGCCAACTGTGTGCATATAATCATTTCATACAGGTGCAAGTATTATCTCAGGGTTACATGCCTCAAAACAGATAGACTGGAATCAATAGTGATCACTACATACTCTTAGCTGGAGTTTATCAGTTTAACATTCTCATCAGGAGTGCATGAGATTGCTTGTTTCTATACACTCGTCAACCCAGACTGTGTGGTCAAGCACTTGAGTTTGTTAATTCATTTATTTTAAAATGCCATCTCAGTGTTGTTTCAATTAACATTTATTTTATTATGAAAAATTACATGGAATTTAACATCTTTGAATATCATATACATTTTAATCCATCTTTTCTATTAATTGACTATGTAAGCATTGTTGTTTATTGTCCATGTAAATTGTTAATTTTTATGAATTTGTAGTAGCCTTAAAAATTTTTTTTTAATTTTAAAAATTGAGGGGAGAGACTTTCTTTGTGATATAAATCGCAAATACTTTTCCTAGTTTATGATTATCTGGTGACTGCTTCTGATAGCTTTTGAGCTATAGATTTTAAACTATACATTTGCAGTTGAATTTATTAAAAAAATCAAATGCCTCTGGGCTTTCTAAACTTTCAGTTTTAGAAAGTCTAATAACTCCAAATTTATAAAATAATTCTTCCATGGTTTTTATACCGTTAGCTTTTACACCTAAAATTTGTGCCCACTTTTCCAAGTGTAAGATTAATTCTGTCTTTATTTTCTGGGTGACTCTCTACTTTCTTAAGCCCAATGGTTATTGAATGTTTCTTTTCTTATGCCAGGGTTTTATAGCAGTAATTGAGTATAAAAACAATATTTTCAGTAAAAAGTGAAGTTTAATTAAGATTGCCTTCTTGTCTCAGAAAAATAAATTAGCCTAAGCTCAAAAGGATCCCATCATTGATACAATCAATTAATAAACAGGTCTGTACCTTCATAGTTGATGCAGCCATTAGAGTCTTCTTGACCTGCCATGAGGGCTTCCACCTCCTCTTCCTTCATCTTTTCACCTGATGGAACAAAACTCTTTGTTCATCAAGAAGATACAAAAATACTTTCCAAATGTCACCGTACGGTATCCGTCATGAACTCCTTCAACGTATGTCTAGACTAAACTCTTGACAATTAGGAATCATGCTCTTATATTCTCCTGTCAATGAGTTGATTTTAAGCACAGGAGTTCAATGCATATTACCCTAATTCTCCAAAATATATCCTTCAAATTCCTACAATGCTGTGCTTTATTATTTCACTGGATTTTAAGCTTCTGTTTCTGTAGAACAAACTCATTGTCACTAGGCTAATAGAAGTGCTTTTTGCCTTTCGACTGTTGTCACTTTCCTTTCCCGACCCATTTTGATTGCCCCACGTTTCTTCTAAGTGGCACTCGTTCAGTATAGTCTGAATGAGTCCTTTATTAAGTTTACTAATCCTCCTTACCCAGGGTGGCTAAAACATGGCGGAGCTCAGCACCCATGACCGTGCCATTGCCTTCCTTATCGAAGACACGCAGACCCTCAACAAAGTCTTCATAGCTGCCCTGGTCCTTGTTGTTGGAGATCGCTTGCATCATGGGCAGAAACTGTTCAAACTCAATTTTCTTGGCATTCATCTCTGGAAGAAATCACAATTTGGAGAGTTGGTAGCTGCCCTAACATACCATCCCTGTCCGAGGCACAAATTAAGCCTGGAGATGTGTTCTCCATGATCTGATAATCTTCAAACAGCTTGTTTCTTAGTTGTCAAAGTGGTAAGACAGAAAGATGGCAATAAATGATATGTGGGTGCGGAACTCTCAGTGTCTAATGTAACTGTGATGTGATCTTGGGGGAGCCGTTATCGCGCTACTGTGAACATGAAGAGTAATACAGGAAAAGCTTATTTCAATACCTGGCATATACCGAGTGCTTGATACATGTTAACTGACATTGTGTTAGATTGCTAATTTGATACTTTCCATAAATATTTAAGGAAGCAATATAAAATATATTGCGCTACAACAAAACCATACAGTAATACTTAAATGTTATTAAATATTCCACCTTTGCCTTGAGATCTCGTAGCACCTTCAAGTTGCATTTTAAGTAACATTAAAAAGAAGTTTCTGAGCAAAGTGTGTGTCTACAATATTCTGTCAAATGTCCTTTCAGCTGATGTGTGTTTTGTGGTTTAGAGGCCTGGAGATGACAAGACTTTCTTTGGCAGCTTCTGACAAAGGAAACTCATTCACAGCAGACGTATAAACTAGACTGTCAAGGCAGATGCCAACGCTGCCCACCTCACGCCTCACCCCCAAATCACAACTCCCTTTTGCTGGTCTTCTCACAGACTGGAGAACCAGTACAGTGAGTAATATTGTAAGCAATTGCATTTAAGGGCTCAATAAATAGACATTGGTGAAAAATTCCAGAGTTGCATTTGGTAAATTAGAAATGGCATTTAAACATAAGGTTGGGCCTGTTGCTTCTCCCACTTTATCTCCAATTCTTAGCTACTTTCTGCAAGATTTAATGAAGAGTTTTCCTTCAAAGAAAATGAAGGCTAAGGAAAATTACAGCAGCTTGATTTAGAAGCCGTTTTACTTCAAATCAATATTTTAAAAGAATATCTCCTAAACATTTTCAATTATAAAGAAAAATATAGCCTTCTAGCCTTTTGTCCTAATAGCAAATATTAAAGCTCCAATATTGTCTACTTGATAAACTTCAGTTTACTATTTTCTTCTTTTGTCATGGTTCATATTTTATACTTTGCCATGAGCTTTTCTTTGTTTCATACCAGGGTTTCTATGTTGTGTATAATGAATTTTGCACTTTCTCCATTTAGGTATCTTACTGACTTTTTTCCCCCCCAGGCCTGAAAGATTTTGGTAACATCTTAAAAGTTTTTGGTACTTCTTTAGAACAGACAACACCCCTAGTAAGATTTCATCCTGCCTTTTCTTAATCATGATAGCTGAGCTTCTTTTAAGACTGCCGCAGAAGTAAAAAGACAGAGAATTGGACAAAGTCAGGATGTGATTTCAGTCAAGTTAAAACCATCATGATTTCACTTCCTTTTTTTTTTTTTTTCTGTTTTCAGTTACTTCTTTTTTTTATTTTTTTTCTTTAACATTTTATTAGGGGCTCATACAACTGTTATCCCAATCCATACAGCTTTTTATCAGTGTTGGTCTTCGCTAGCAGGGAGTAATATAACTCTCTCCGAGTTCTTGACGAAGCACACTATGTGTTAGCCATTTAACTCTTTTGTCTACATGTACCTATGACCCTGAACATTGGAAGCCTCAAAAAGGATTTAGATTTCTCCGAGTATAATTTCATTTCATCAGCCTTTAAATCACGAGCATTTGTGATGATGCTTCTACTAGCATTTGGCGTTAATTCCTTTCACTCGGATGGCATTTTGCCGTGTAACTTCTCACAGTGCCGTTACTTTAGGTTACCAGGGGAAAGGCTGAGCATTTTGCAGCTAAGAGGCCCGCTCGGCACCCTCAGCAGCAAACTGAATTCTATTATGTGAAACTTACTTTTCAATGGATAGAGACACATTTTGACTTTCATACTTCTTGAAAAAATCTGATGTGGTTACCTTCATTGCTGGGGTTCCCCAGCACCTTCTTCACCTCTGCATTGGTGGGGTTTGTGCCCAGAGCCCGAAGGACGTCCCCAACCTGGCTTAAAGTGATCTTGCCTTCACCCGTCCGGTCAAACAGGAGAAATGCCTCTTTGAAGTCTGAAAAAGAGAGAGAGGGAGAGGGAGAGCGTTCGGGTGCTGTTTTCAACTGCTGCTCTAGTCATGCCCCAGTTCCATGAAGGATCCAGCCCAAGCTCTTCCGGAGTCTCACAACTATTGCCAACCACCCAGGTTATTGCTTGCTCAACTCTCCCTAGCTCTGGCTCACACCATCACTGGCAAACCCTTGACTCATAGCCTATGGGGTTTCTTTATTTTCATTTGGGGGATTATTTGAAGGCAAGATGTCCAACTCCAAGTCCTAAGTCCAATGTGATTATTGGAACCTCTAGTCTTGTATATTCCCATTTCCTTCACCAGTCTGTGAGGCATATAGGAGGCTTTGAGAAATCCTACACTACCTCATATAATTAACAAAGTTGATAATGTCTGAAGCCATCAAATTACTTTAAAAATTATTTTAGAAATCAGATTCTTAATCAGCATGTGTTAAATGAGCTTAACCCAAACTTAAAATTACCCAGAACAACCTCCTGGGTGTACACCATTCTTAAGATCTCTCTCTAGGTGGTTTTCTCCAAGAATAGATTCTTCTCAAATGAAAAGTTTCCAAGGGAAAGACAAACTACAAATTTATATAATTTCCCTAAACCTCACCTATGTATGACTCTTGTAGACTGCTAGTACCACTGATACAAAAAGAGAAATGATTGTTTGCATATATTGATATGGTAATGTCTCTACACATTGCTCTTTCCCCCCTACAGATAGTACTTATAATTAAGTACTCATTGTTAGATGAAAAATTTTATGGAGATAATTGTAGAATCACATGCAGTTGGAAAATAACAATACAGAGAGATTCATTGCACTTTCTGCCCTGGTGTTTACATTTTGCAAAATTATAGTATAATATCACAGCCAGGATATTGACTTTGAAAAAATCCACTAATATTCATAGTTCCAATTTTACTTCCACTCATTTGGGTGAGTGTGTGTGTATTTAGTCCATATTTTTATTTTAAAGTGTTGCCTGTTATTATAATCAGGGTATTGGTTACTCTCCTAAATTTTACCATTCTCCTTTGATATGAATTCACATTTTAGAATGACACTGACTGAAAACTTAGCACCATAACCCCCCCCCCAAAAAAAAAAAAAAGACTAGAAACATCTATCTTTACGGACTAAGGGGTAAGTTCATTTCAGTTGAACCTGAACTTCACAAAATGGAACTGTCTTGGGAAACCAAACGTACTGATGGTGACCTGCTGCAGTTCATACCAATACTGCAAACCAAAATACTTGTGAATGCTCTGGTCAAGTTGAAAGTATTCCTTGTAAGCCATCCCAAGAGATCAGATCCAAAGATGCTATCTAGGTAGATTACTCGGCAAAGTATCCTAATCCTCCATATTAATAAAAAAATTGTATCAGCTACTATATTCATAATCATCTATAGCTCCTGTTACCATTCTTTGATAAATGTCACCCCTCAAATACAAATGTATTATTTTAATTCAAATACTATACACGCTAACTATAACAGATCATTCCCCTAATCTAAAAACCATTCTGCAGACACCGTGTAGTCACTCAGTATGATTTTTCGTTTTTTTTAAAGGACATGTGAAACTGAGCTTATTACTGGCTCTAGGCTTACATGGATGGATCGTTGAGAGGGCTCACTGTTACCTTGGTCAGTTGCTGATTTAGAAATAGAATTTTATGGGCTGTAATAGAATCCCTCTGACCTTACATTAACCCTTTTGTTGCTTAAAAGACAGAGAGCGGAAAGAGGTTACTCTTACTACCGTGGAGTTTTAATCTGCCCAGTGATCTTGCAGAAAAAAGGCCTATCAATTCCTCATCTGAAGCTGATAGCCAAGGGAAGGCCATGGAGCAGATCTAGTCTGTAACAAACACACAGGGTTGCCAGGAGATGGAGTCAACTCCAAGGCCACTTCGCCAACTCCAGGTTTTAAAACAAAGGGTTAGTCTACAACGTGGGATGGCAAACTGGCCCCAGGTCCGACTGCCAGCTTCCGTTAATAAAGTTTTAACGGAATGCAACCATTCCATTAAAATGCCAGCTCCTTTACTAATTGACTATGGTGGTTTTCATACCAAGCAACGAAATTGAGTTGTGACAGTTTAAGGTC